GTGCGTTTTGGCCCGGTCCGGCGCAACCCTCTACGGAGATCGCGCGTGTCGACTTTGCAGTACAACTTTAGTACGCGGAGCAATCTATGGAGCTGGAAGCTGAGAACTGGCGACTTTGTAGTACAACTTGAGTACGCGGAGTATCTGGGGAGCTGGAAGATGAGAACTGGCGACTTTCTAGTACAACTTCAGTGCGCCGAGTATCTGGGGAGCTGGAAGATGAGAACTGGCGACTTTGTGGTACAACTTTAGTACGCGGAGCAACCTGTGGAGCTGGAAGCTGAGAACTGGCGACTTTGTAGTACAACTTTAGTACGCGGAGTATCTGGGGAGCTGGAAGCTGACAACTGGCGACTTTGTAGTACGACTTTAGTACGCGGAGTATCTGGGGAGCTGGAAGATGAGAACTGGCGACTTTGTAGTGCAACTTTCGTGCGCGGAGCAATCTGTGGAGCTGGAAGCTGAAAACTGGCGACTTTGTAGGACAACTTGAGTGCGCGGAGTATCTGGGGAGCTGGAAGATGAGAACTGGCGACTTTGTAGTACGACTTTAGTACGCGGAGTATCTGGGGAGCTGGAAGATGAGAACTGGCGACTTTGTAGTGCAACTTTCGTACGCGGAGCAATCTGTGGCGCTGGAAGCTGAGAACTGGCGACTTTGTAGTACAACTTTAGTACGCGGAGTATCTGGGCAGCTGGAAGATGAGAACTGGCGAAGAAGTTGTAGTACAACTTTAGTGCTTAGTACGCGGAGTATCTGGGGAGCTGGAAGATGAGAACTGGCGACATTGTAGTACAACTTTAGTACGCGGAGCAATCTGTGGAGCTGGAAGCTGAGAACTGGCGACTTTGTAGTACAACTTTAGTATGCGGAGTATCTGGGGAGCTGGAAGATGAGAACTGGCGACTTTCTAGTACAACTTTAGTACGCGGAGTATCTGAAGAGCTGGAAGATGAGAACTGGCGACTTTGTAGTACAACTGTAGTACGTGGAGCAAGCTGTGGAGCTGGAAGCTGAGAACTGGCGACTTTGTAGTACAACTTTAGTACGCAGATGAGTCATCTCTCGCGGCTGAGTCATCCCTCGCGGCTGCTCTGGCACCCCTGCAGCTGAGTCATGTCTCCCGACCACACGGCTCTCTTGAGAGGTTGACAAATTTTGGCTACTTTGCTTACTCATAAGTGGCTGCCACAAAAGAGTCATCGTGACGTTAGTATGTGTGTACTTCACCTTCATGACAAACGATGTTCGCTTGGAATACACGAGTCGCTTGTCATGATCGTGACGTCGTTTACTCTCAGGTTGCCCTGTTCGTGGAAACTTCAGTGTGAAATGTACTTCAGTTCTATTTGAACCTCTTCAGCGTTGTACTTGCGCAACTGAGGTTGACGTTGCGCTGCCGTTGCATCGATGCATCTACGTCTACACCCCCTCACCTCTCTACATTTACATCTTCGCACGCTCACATCGACAGATCTACCTCTCCACCTCCATGCATCTACAGATCTATATCGCGCCTGCGCGTCCACACTGTCACTCCTTCACATCCACCCTCTCTTTCTCTCTTTCTATACATCTGCATGTCTCGCTCTCGGGCCAACGGTCGTCTAGTTTTCGTTTTTCAGCAGGGGGACTGCCTGACTTGTAACAGTGGCAGTCCAACGAAGAGGCTGTTACCAGTCACTGATATGGATTCTGGACGCAGAATCCACCTACCTGCTGTTATACCTGAGACACTTCATTGTGGGCCCTGCTTGTAGCTAGAACAAGATGTCCAGCCTTTGCATCGGTTCTTCATCGGCAGATGTGCATTGTCGCTTTGGATGTGTCGCTTCGAAGTTGGAGGCTGTGCAGGTTTTGAGGAAGTTTGGACCACCGTACTTACCCCTGTCCTGGATTCTTAGGTTTTTCACTTAGGCTGGCGCGTGGCACTGCGTTCACATCAGTATGCATTTCTATAAGTGTGTGTGTGTGTGTGTGTCAACACCTGTTTCCAAGGAAGATGCATCGAATAATTCACCGTTGATGGTCGAAATACAGGTAAGAAGCAGGGGGACTGCCTGACTTGTAACAGTGGCAGTAGTCACTGATACGGTTTCTGGACGCAGAATCCACGTACCTGCACCCCGTTTTGAACCAATCCTCCGTCTCACCTGTGTTAAACCATACACTTCAAGCGGACTCCATCGCCTTGCTGTTCTTCAAGTCAAGGTCTACTGCGTCGGTAATGTAATCGCTAGAGTGGACTACCTTCACTGAATCAGCTCTTGCGAGCATCAATCTAAGTGTGTGTCGCCGCAGAGTCCCAATGAGGGCTGTGGTGTGATCCCCATCGAGGGGCACAGCGTTTGCGTAGACCCGCAAAGGGGGACCCTCTCTGATTCCTCGTCCTTCATTCGGGAGCTTCTTTCGGATCTTCACTGGTTTGTTCGTTCTGCTTGGATTTACTGATCGGATGCCGCAGGGCCTCCTGAGATCGACATATTGAACATCACCACATGACACATGATCATGTGCGACTTTGACAAACGAAACAAACTCCGACACGTTCAGGGACTTCAAGCGCCGTTCACGGCTTTGCCAGTGCCCCCGGGCCAGTGTGCGCCCCATGCGGGAGAATTCGCCAGCCTTTTCCCCCCCAGCCCACACCCCGCCCCCCTTGCACCTTTCTCTTCTTTTCTTGCCTTTTTCGTTTGCCTGGTTTTTTTTCTAAGCTTTGTTAGGTGGACATCCAGGCTCGTTTAGTCAACGCACCCCTACCCGCGAGACAAAAAGAGAGCGTGCCGATTTCGGCTTTCTGTGTGTGGCAACACCTGTTTCCAAGGAAGATGCATCGAATAATTCACCGTTGATGGTTAAAATACAGGTAAGAAGCAGGGGGACTGCCTGACTTGTAACAGTGGCAGTCCAACGAAGAGGCTGTTACGAGTCACTGATACGGATTCTGGACGCAGAACTCACGTACCTGCACTCCGTTTTGAACCAATCCTCCGCCTCACCTTTGTTAAACCATACAATTCAAGCGGACTCCATCGCCTTGCTGTTCTTCAAGTCAAGGTCTACCGCGTCGGTAATGTAATCGCTAGAGTGGACTACCTTCACTGAATCAGCTCTTGCGAGCATCAATCTAAGTGTGTGTGCGTGCAGCGTAACTGCAAAGGCTCCAGTTCCTAGATCAAGCCTTTGGGCTGGACTTGGATCCCCAAAAGCACATCAGAAAGTTACGCATACGCAGTGATTATGCAGTAACTTGAAATTCGATTATATGCAGTGACTGTGAGAGTGATTACATATGTTTAAATTTCCTATCTTGCGGAAGGATCTTGTTGCATTGATTGTTTGCCTGACTTTGACTTCCTTCTGTTGAGCTTTGATGTTGCATACCTTTGTTAATTTTTTTTTGGCACGCACTATATATGTACACATATGCATATGCACATGGTTTCCGGGTCAAACATGAAAAATCACTCCTTGTACTGTGAAAACATAAAGTAGGCCGTTTTGGGAGGGTACTTGTACACCATCATTCATAAATGTATTCGCATATTGGTCTGTAGTGAGGAATGCGCATCCCAATTCAGTATATAGAGACTTCTCCAAAAGCACCCATTTTACTTTGGTGACTGGTAACTGACTACTTTACCATTATTCGCTTTCACCCTGGGTGCACAGTTAAGTAGAGTTACACTTGTACGGTTTCAGCGAAATGGGACGACTGGACAATTCAATGTACCGTACGGCTGTACTTTGTGCCACTTTGCCGTGTGCCTCCACAGCGTGATACCCTCAATCCCGCCAATTCCGTCGAGCTGCCTCACTTTCTTAAAGACGCATTGCGTTGTTACTTGATGTCCAATATCGTACAAGTGATGCAAAACTCTGGGCCATCTAGCCCCAAACAGTTCAGGCGCACTTCAATCTTTCAGCGTTTAGAGGTCCACCACTTCCAGAGGGTCCTATAACCAGCAGGTGCTACCATACTTTGGAAAACATGCCCGAACATGCAATTTGTACATGCACAGTCCATGTGTTTTTGAACGCATTGTGATGTGCAGAAGATCACTCTAGTAGACCTAGGAAACTGCGAGCCATCAGGAATGAGACCCGACATGCATCTGGAGCATGATCGTGCCGATTCAGTCTGCACATTGAATCACGGCACCCGTTCATGCTCTTGTGCTATATGGACCTGCTCCGTACATAGCCACATTTTAGTAACCTGACACATTGTATTGTTAATCTCTACGACAAACACTTCATTTTTCAGACAAGAGTTAAACATGGTTGGTTGCAGTCTGCAGTGGCATGGCCGCTGACATTTGCCGTTGAGAAACGCTGCATGTCCAGCCAATGTTCGAGTTGAAGCTGTTTAGAATGTAGAATCTATATATATACAGTATATATTATATGTCTATGAATATGCAATCGGCTCTCTCTCTCTCTCTTTTTGCGCTTGATCGGCTAGTTTAACAGGAGCTATTGCGACTGCTGGAGGCGCTGGCTTCTCTTTTGAAGGATGCACGATTTAATCCAATCTTCACCCGGAGAAAACACCTGGACAGAGCAGTCGGAGTCTCTTTGCATCGCAGTAAGTCTAGCTCCCTGTCTCAGCATGTGAACGCATCATATGCCGGCATTCGAAAATCCAAGCCCTGCAGGTTAGTAGCGGACAGATCTCGAGAGTGTATCGAGAGAGGCCTGCAGCAAGCCAAATGACAGCATTCCAAGAATAATTGTTTTGCCGGCAGCAGTTTTCTCCGTTGAAGTTCTTGCGTGACAAATTTGGCCTCAGCAGATTGTGCGAAGACTGGCCAACCTCATGTTCATGGACAGTTTTACGCATTGCCTGCAACATTAAACCCAAGATTCAACTAAATGCATAAATCAGAAACAGATGGATCACATTGCCATGAAGTTCATTTGGCAGCAAAGCCTCAGAGTCAAAGACCAAAGTAGCTAACCTCAACTGAATCGGTTGTCTCTCCAAATCAACGGGTACCAGAGCAGCAAAGCAAGGCTGAATGTCTTAGCGAAAGACATGTAGCATTTGTTGGTGCCATGGAAGAAGATGCACTTGCTTCAGCTGTTTTACAACCTTTAGTGAGAGAGAGAGGAGGATCTTGAAGCTGCACCTGAGTAGTCTGAAGAGAGCTTCATCATTGAATTAAGGCATGCGGCGCAGACTCCCACTGCTTTATCTCAGGGTGGCTTGAATAGACGAGTGTCATCATGGCTTGTCAATTTGCTACGCTGTTTGCTGTTTGCTGCGCCACAACCCCTTAACCTGCCGGTAATGCTCCGACCCTTTTCGAGTTCCCTTGCACGACATGTGCGATGAACTATTCTTAATGTTGCATGCTCGGCCGATGCAAAGTTCCATCATCCCTTCCGAGGGCGTGGCCAGTTCTGACGGCATGGCTGGGCTTCACCATTGTAGGCAGGGTACGCGAAGGAACAAACAAAAGGGAGACAGAAGACGCCAGGACGCAAAGATTTTGAGTGGTCAAATAGCCTTGTTTGGCCACGTTAAAAGAGGCATGCTGTTTTTGAGTTCTCGCTCGAGGTCTTAGCACTTGCAGCAATGCCTATCGGCACCTCTTGAACTTTACTCGGCCTGACTTGCAACCTCATGTGTCTCAACCTGAGCAGACTACTAGAAGAGCATTTCCCCAAGGAGCGCAAGCAGCATTTCCCGCCGAGGCTCCGCATCATCTTGGTGGGCCCTATCTATGCCTTCAGCGCTTCGTTTTAGCCCTAAAATTAACAGAATGCTGTGGAGATTGGTTTTGACGTAAGGTAAATAATCACTCTGTCCTCCTTGCTTTCTCCCTTCAATTGCTTTCGTTTGCCCCCTTCTCAGGCTTTGCCTGTCTGTTGGCGAGAGTGAATGCTTTTTCATTAGATCTGCCACCTGCTCAGAGCACAAATTTTTGACAACAAATAGTTTCTCACCTGAACCTCTCCTGCAACCTGATAAGTTCTAATGAAGGTCCGAGATATTTGGGAAGCTGTTGTGATCTACTCCTTCCTGACGCTGGTATCCCTGACATTTTACCTCATGCCTGCACCCTGCTGTTTTTTGCCGTTTTAATAGTTCACACACATCGGAGGCATTGCTTGGTGAAAATATAGGAAAGACAACACGTTGGCAAATCCTTCAGTGCCGAAAGACACATAGGCATGCCGTGTGTGAACCCCTGAATCCTCTATGCACGCATTGTTTGGCGGCAGATTATTGAATACATGGGTGGCGAGCACCTTTGTCTTCACAGCATCTCGCAGAATGACGAGGCAGGATGCACCCCTGCATTATCTACAACTCAGTGTGAAGACTTGCAATGCGCTGCCTTGCTGTCTTTTTTTTTTTGAAATAGGCTGTGCCGCACTTGTTCCCTTTGAGCCTTTGCGCTGCACTCAGAACTTTGGGATGGCGCGCCTTGAAAAGTCTCTAGCGCTAGCTTCTTGTTACTGGTAGTAATGGCCTCCAACCTAATAGCGATGGCCTCCACCTAATAGCGTCCTTGCTACTACCTTTGCCAAACTGCCTGTAGGCCTTCCGCCCATTGCCACTGGCTCCATGATCCGCATGCCCAAGATGGGCGCGTTGCAGCAGCTTGGCTGTGGCCAGGGGTGTTCGATTTGGGAAGGACCAGAAGCGAATGCAACAGACCAAGGTTCGTTGCAGTGAAGCCAGTTGTGGCGGTGATTTCGATCATAGTGTACGCCTGTGGCCAGCTTCATGCAAAATCCTCAGCGTGTAGATTGCGACTACAATGGCCCACCAGCTCAGCCACCAAGAACTGGTACTACCAGTGGACGCTCTTTGTGATTTACAATATCTCCTACAGCGTTGCGCTCTATGCCCTGGCCTCGGATTTTTGGTCAAGTGAGTTAGTTAGGCTGTAAGGCAGCGGTTTCGTTAGGCTAAAGCAATCAGCATTGATTCGTGTGGCATTTTGCAACACTGTTCTTCAGATTTTGTGAAGGCTCTGTACTTGATCTACTGGTCATCGCATGAGCAAGAGGCTGGCATTTCATCACGAAAGGTAGCGGTTACGCTACCTGAGTTTTCCTTTTGCTTTAGCAAAAATGTATTAACCCAGAGCTGCAGCCTATCTCTCGGAGAAATGGTCCCCGACATCTTCGTTTGCTGGCCGGGGGGGGGGGTGAAAGAGTGACTAGGGCGTACACGGTAGAGGTGCAGACCGCTAGTGTCTTTTATGCGCAGAGTCTTATCCTCTTGCTCTTTGAGCCTTGAAGCAGTCAAGCATGGACACACTATATCAGCTGTTGGAGTGGAACCCTGTACAGGTAGGCTCTACTTTTCAGCAGGCACAAGATTCATGTCCACTTCTAGCTGATTGCGTATGTCGCATACTCTTTTTCTACTGCAAGGCTAAATCAGTCCAGCTAGCTCTGACAACTTAAAAGAAAACTACGGTGCCATGTACTTACCTAATCCAGTGTGTTTCACACTTCAGAGAAGGTAATCTCATAGCTACTAAATACAGTGAGGGAGCAATAGCTGACTCACCTCAAGTACAAAATCAAATCGATAATGTACCTCGGCTGGAGACTGTACTTTTCGCAGGCGGAGATACCATGTACCGGCGCTCACTAGCTCTTTATGGTCTGAGCTAAATCAAACTAAAAAGGAAAGCGGCTTTTTCTCTACAGAGACCTATAAAAGAATCAAACGACACTCGCGTAACAAAGAACTAAAAATTCAAGACCGCACAATGCAATGAATTAAGATGCCTTGCAAAATGCAAGGAGCGTACGGTCCGAGGAATAATCTTCTCGTGACGTGGTCTCGACCGCTTTCATTCACAGACAAAATAAACTGCATCAAAAGGACTCTCTTTCACATTCACATCAAAAACACAAGAAGGAGATACCGGCAAATGTATGTACAAACTTGCACTACAAATGCAGACTTATGAAATGACTTAATCATCAACCATGAATGGTTGTCCATTAGAGGTCATCTCAGAAAAAGCGGCTGTGATAGATATCATCAGTTATGCAAAACTGTCCATACCTATCTGCATGCTAAAGCGTATAAACCTGGAATGCAGGAGTATCTTCTTTGATAAAAAGTTTCTCCTCATTGCAAACCAGAATTTATTAAAACTTCAGCCTGGCAACTTAAAGTCAAGCCTGGAAGCAAAGTATCAACTGTAACCAGAAGTATCTTCACTTCCTAGCCATCATTTAAATTTCAGCCTTCGCTCAGGAATTATGCCGCTGCAAACGATGAAGTTGCTTGATCAGAAGTTGGCGGCCTTCCTTTCCTTTTATTCTGCTTTTGTCTCTCCTTCCTCCGCAAGTTCGCCTCATGAAGAGTTGGTCCCATGCGATACTGTTTTCTGTCTCCAGATGAAAAGGAAGCTGGTCTGAGTGAAATAAACATTGGACCATGACTGTCCTCGTCAGTGGGCCTTGAGCACATAACCTCCGTGTCAATCATAGCAAAGTTCTCTGAAAAATTACAGACGAACTCCTTCGTACTCACTGTGGAATTTTCATATTCCTCTTCACTCATTGAATGACCCCATTCAACAATGGTAGACAAACATGTATCGCCAAGCTTTGATCCTTGGTATTCTTCTTTTTCAACAGTAGAATATTCTTCCCAGAGTTTGTCAAAGTAATCTTCACAATTCTTGAGGACCTGTGAAGTTGAACTGTAAAATGTTCTGGGAATAGGTGCCTTGATACCCGGATCTGCTTTGACACGAGCTTCTGAAAACCTGCGGATCCAATGCTGCATGGTGCTGTAATAGTAGTTAGCCATTGGCTGCCTTTTGTACCCAGACATTCTGTAGGCCAAACTATTTGCATCGCCAGAAATGATGTCCACCTCATAGACAAAACACTCGTAAAGCATCAATGCTGTCTGTTCTCCTGTCAGTAGGTGGGCATCCACAGCACGGTGTGTATCAACATGATAATTACAGACTCTGATGGTATGCATGTTCGCTCGAGTAAGTGGAACACGCTTGTCCTCAAGACCATAGTCATCAAATTCAAAGTCTGCACCCTTGAAATCTTGACGAGGCCTTGTTTCTCCAAAACAAATCTCGTAGATAGCCCAAGTTACATCACGCTGTTCACAGTGACCAAGATCTTGGTCATGTCCAGCAATGATCTTGACATATCCACCTGGTGCCAATCTAGCCATCACTGCAAGATTCTCCCAATCATTGAAACAAACTGTCCAATTCTTTTGCTCAATAAATTCCTTGGCAGGAACAAGAAGATGAGCTTCCTGGAGAATCACGACATGTGCACGTAAAAAGAAGAGCATGTTGAAGAAAAGGTTGTTCTCAAATTGCTCATTCTGAAGTGACATGGCGCTCTGTTTGCGTGGCCTCATTGCACTATCAAGTCCGTGGAGAAACCTTGGTGTGGTGTACTTCTGACCACGAACCATGTTGCCATAGTTCCAGGATAAAAATGTCAAGGACTCTGAGCTGGCCAATAAATTAGTTCCATATGGTTCTTCTATTCTTCCCTTGAGGAACCTTCTGCACAGCTCTTCATAGAAGGTGACAAAGTCCCAACTGGGTCCCTTGGGACCATATGATTCCAGTTCCTTCTTGAGTTCCTTTTTCGTATCCTCCAATTCTTCTCGAGCATGACCTGCCCTTTCAAGGGCCTTTGGATCGACCTGATACCTGCCATCCAAATAAATGATGCGGTCATCATTGATGAAGAATCTCTTCAAATCATGCTCTGGTTCATGCTCATAACAATCAGGTGGAGGTACTGGACAGATATTGCGAATGGATCGAACAAAATCATTCTCGTTGATCCTCGACTGATAATGAGGATGGGAAATCTCACCTTTTCTGAAACAAACATGATTCAGCAATCTTGCATGAGTTTCCCTGAAGCATAGTTGATAAAAGCCAATACCTGGATCTCCTGTAAGCTCTCCAAGCAACTTTAAAGGTGAAGTGTGCAACTCATAGGTATTGTCAACTTTTGTAGTATCCTTTTCAACAACTACTTCAGATGGAAAAGATTCTTGGATTTCAGCCTCCAATTTCTTCTCTCCATCATCCTCTCTGACCTCCTTTATCTTCTCCACCGCCTCTTTCTTCTCTTCCATGGTTGCATCATCCTGAACTTCTTCATGAAAATGAGGATCAGGAATCTTATTCAGGCGGCTTTTCTTAGATTTCCGCTGACCTGAAGTATCATCAAGGTTAGCATCCATCTCACCTGATGGTAAGTGCGATGCAGTCGAGTCCTCACCTATCTCTCTTGACAGAAAGTGTGGTGTTGACTCTTCCTTGGTGTTGACTCTTCCTTGGCTTCCTCCTGGTCAACTTCCATCTTTGGTTCCTCTGAAGGAAAAACACCTGCATCTTCATCAAATATTTCTTCTTCCTTTCCAGGTTCAACTGCAGGATCTTCTTCAGGAACTTCCTCTTCCATATTCTCATCTTCTAGAAGTGTTCTACTTCCAGTATAGACTTCACCAGTGATAGTGGAGACTCTTGTATAAGGAGGAACTTCTTCACCTGCTTCAAAAGCTTGTTCTGCAACATCCTTGGTGAGCAAGTCCTCTACAAGATTTTCTCCCTCGGTTCTTGGAAGAGGTCCTGAGGTCTCATAAAAATCTGTCCTCTCTGAACTGAAAGCTTCTGTCGCCTTCTCATTGTCCTTTTGATCCCTGAACAGGTGAGTAATCTTCACAGCTTCTCCCTGTAGCACCTGATCACCTCCTCTATACTTGTTGACAATGGAGCGCCATACTGGAACATCATCATCATCAAAATCAAGCTCCATATCATCTGCCAACAGGTATGAGATGTTTTGAGCTGCCTGTTCTTCTTCTTCATCACGTTCCTTGGCAAGCTCCTCATCCTTCTGGATCTTGAAGATACCCTTCAGGATGTCTTGTAGTACCTTTAAGTTCAGCTTCGATGATGGCTCATACGTCCCTGAACTTACAGGCTCAACTACAACACGAGAGCAAGAAATCGCCTCCAAAAACTTGGAATTGTATTGGCGTTCAAACTCTTCCTTCTTGATCATCTCATACAAGGGATCAGAAACTGCAACACGCGCCTGAACATACTCACGAAGTTGATAGCATGCATGTTGCACAAATCTACTGTTGGAGTTGTGAAGAAAACTCTCTAAATGATTCCTGTCACGGTCAATCAAATACCACACAATCCTTGCAGAAAAACGGAATTTCTTGAAGTTCATAGAAAAATGTGTATGATACTTCTCTGGATTCCTTTCTGCTTGTAAGGCGGCCTCTGAAGTCTTGTAAGCTGGGAGATTTGTGTCTGGATCCAAAATCATAAACTCTTCCCACAAGATCGAGCGGTCAAGAACCCACTTGGGAAGCACCTTGATGAAAAAGTCACAAACAAGTTCTGACACAAGGTGCATGACACGACCAATCTCTTCCTCCTGCTTGAAGCGATAGTGCAGTTTGGCAAATAAAGGATTGTTGAATGCTTCCTCCACTGTATTGCCAAAATTATCCCACTGAGGTTCTGGAATACCAAAGTTCCAACCCAGCAATTTGGGATCTCTGCACATATCCAAGAAGCTTGAAAGCTCTACAGAAGCAATGCCATGGTCTGTCAGAATTTCAGCCCAGCGGCGTCCATTCTCCCAAGCACGGATGAAGAAAAACTGTTGGTATCCAGTTTGTGCCAACTCCATCCACTGAGAAATTCCGGGTTCAAAACTCGGTGCATACGTCTTGGGGTCTTCCTCTGTTCCATAAACACTTGGACGTAGCAACTTGTATCTTCTACAAAAATATTCTCTCTGGTGCCTTGTCAACCTGTCCCAATCCCTCACAAGGATCACGTCTTCTCCAGTGCTCTGGAGTACACGTGTCCCTACACGATCATGGAGTGATACCATGCCAATGTCATATACCATCCATGGGTTGAGAACCAGGTTGTTGACATTCTGAATGAACCATGTCATCTCACGCTCAGCAACATGAGCAGAGTCATCTTCTTCATCTTGTTGAGGTTCTCCAGAA